TCTTTGTTGGAGGAAACAGGGATTATCACTCCCGTTGACGGTATGTCCCTACAAGAAGAAAGATTAGTTGGCATACTGTCAGAAACAAACAAACATATCCACCTGTACATATCGGCTATTGTTTCAACCCAGTCATCGGCATCTTTACTGGCAAGGTCAAGCAGTGTTGTAAGAGCATTGTGCACCTTGATGAAAGTTCCATAATATAAATTCAAGGAAGTGAATATAAGATACTAACGATGCTCATTTTTCGAGGATTCATGTGAGGTATACAACATATGATTTTGAGTTTGGTTTGCACGTCAATGGCCTGGAAACAAGAAATCAGTACTTTAAAAGCATCCTATTGGAAATTAAAAATATGACAATACTAATGGAAAAGCGGCAATCACAAACCTGAAAGCATGTTTCTAGCTCCTCAAGCATTTCTCTGGACAACATTGAAGCTGTGGTACGTCCCGACCACACTCCAGCGTCATTCAATTTTTTCTCCAACCAGTTCACCTATTAGCTTCATATTCACCGCAAAAGAGGAGAAAAAACTTTATTTGCAGAGAAGAAAGTGCGAAATACGATGAAGCTGAAGCATATCAAAATTGCACTTACCAGATCCATATCTTTGAGAATTGACGACTGAGAGGAGTTCGGAAAATAAGCAGCCCCTTTTCCTGGGTCGGCCATCCTTTAAATAAACAAAAAAATAGCTTACTTAACAGAGTAGTAAATAAAAAATATTGTACAGGAGAATTTTAGAATCGTTGGATTTGCGCGCAGAAGCGAGCGGTCTGCGTGCGGCTGTTCTCAGTGGACCACTCTATTTTCAAAAACTACAAATTCTTTGTGTTTGTGATATTTTTTTAGGGTTCCAAACAGTTATAAACATACTTGCTCGCTTTCATCTGAAATCGACAGGAACCATATGCCATGAATATTTCTTAACTATCTTTAAATCTATTGTTTGGGTAATAATCTTAAGGTTTTAATTTTAGGCATGGTTTTGCGCAAGT